GCTTGCAGACTGGTAAGCCAACCAGCGCCACTAGTTTGGTTTTTCCGGTTGTTTACCAAGTACAAAAAGCTTTCGGAAAATTCGGTTGGAAAGTAAACAGAACACGACTTTTTGGGTCGTCCCAGTGGAAAATCTCCTTGAGCAACTAAAAATCAGAAAAGGTAGTCCTGTTTTACAGGATGGAATGTTCCAGATGGAAATTCCTACCGCGTGTTCCTTTTCTTCAAAGCAAGAGAGCATAAAGCTCTATACTCTCTGGTTCAAAGCTATCTTTGATATAGGTAAATGGAAATGATTTATACACGATTCCATAATAAAATTTGCCAGTCCTGAATTTTGCTTACCACAGTTGCCCAAACTGTGAACGCACCGGCTTTCCCTCAAAAACTTGTAAAGAAGCTCCTTTTTTGCCATTCGTCTTAAGCGGCAAGCTTGAGTCAGGTGATATCCGGTACGTCGTAAATTCCACGAAGTGGACGACTGTGAACGCAGCTGCTGCAATCTATTTTCTACTCATTCAAACAAGGCCGAGAATGCCATTCGTTATACCGGAGTTTCTAATCTCGAGGTTTTAATATACGAAGTCATTTATGAGCAGTTATTATTACCAAGAGAGTATGGATCCAGGAGTAGTTCCTATATAACAAAGTTTTAAGCTTTGGCTCTGCTACATACCCTGGCGGTGACGGTTTTTTCCTCCCACCCTTTCTTGTTTGTTTTATCGTTTAGTTTGAAAAAAAAAATCTTATAATCTTAAAGTTTTAGGGGCAAAATCTTTTCCAACATTTTTTTAGTGCCTCTAGATAATTAAACTTTCTTTTTATTCACAGGGAGCTAAAAAACACAAAGGTACTCCGCCATTTTATTAGTTACTTATGCCAAAGTGAATTCATAGGAAATCTAACTTATCTAAATAGGCCTATGTTCATCTATATCTCCATTGTCTATCTATAGTATCTTAGCAACATCCAACTAGCTATAGTGGTCTATTATGAATGCTGCGTTGATTGGTTGAGCTACTACTAGGCTATATGTTATAGCCCACTATTAGCGAAGAGCGCCGACTTTGAAAACTGGCGGCTGAATCGCGTTTTGCTAGCTAAAGTTGTTTTGTCGCGATATTTCTGACCAACTAGTTTAATTTTACTAAAACAATGTGTTGTTCTTTGCCGCTAAAACTGCTATTTAGCTAGAAGCAAGCCTTAACATTGATATCAACCGCGCGTACTTCTTCGTGGATGCAATAAAATAAGCTATTTTTGAATAAGAGCAAGACTGAATATATCATTTATGGCTCACACCAACGTTTAAAGCGGGAGGACAGTATAAGCTTATCCTGCAATGGAACTTCTTTGACGGAATCATCGCGAGTCTTTCAAATATCTTGGCGTCGCGAATGACGGAGGATCAGCACTTTAGTTTTACTGTAACAATCATATTGAGCACGTAGTCAACAAGGTTTCGAGAAAATTGGGTGTTCTTAGGCGTTTGAGAATATCTATTCCCAAGACTGCAGCTGAACGCCACAAGATGATAGTTTTACCCATTTTTGACTACTGGTGGCCTGGCACGGGTGTGGAAAAGTTAAGTCTGATGCCAGTCTCGAGAGTTTACGGCATAGAGCCGCGAAGTTAATTTTTCCAAATTCCGGTCTCGATACTAAAGCACTTAATGCTACCTTGGGTCTGGTACCCTTAATTTATATGCGTAAACTTCACGCCGCCCTATTTAAATAATTATTTCAATTTAAACAGTTACGACTAGACGCTGTAATGACATTCATATCCAAAAAGTCAACCTAGAGGTCGCAAAGACATATTTTTATTTTACTGGTGCGATGAAATTTAACAGCCTTTGATCAAAGAAATCCTTCCTTGATTTCTGAAGGGAAACTAAATAACAGGACCCCCTTTGATAACAATGCTTATTACACACTGACAGGGTTATAAATATTATGTATTGTTAATATTCAATTATAACAAGTTTTTACGACTCCAATGTCTCGCAATTCCCAGAGGAAACTTTAGGAAGGAAACAAAACCAAATATATAGAAAAAAGACCAGAGAGCCTCAGAGTTTTAATTTATCAAACGTGGGCTAATTCCTACTGCTATATTTTTAAGTGACCAGTGTTTCCAAAAAAAGTCGAAGAGAAGACGACAGTTGATTATAAAAATTGATCAGATAAGGTCTCCGGTAAGACCCACACGGGCCAAAGGCCCTAACGACCGGAGCTTATCCCGGTTTCCTAGCATGAAGCATGTTTAGAAGTATTGTTATTTCCCCTGGACAGGATGCCAGTCCATAGCAGGGTCACCCCTTAGCAGTATGTCGCTGGTACCCCGTTTTTCACTTGGGTGAAAAGAGACAAAGTTGAGTAAGGGTGAGGCTTGTACCCCGGAGGTCTCCGGTGCAGTACAGGTCTCCGGTAAGCTTCCCAAAACACTTTCTCCAAGATTCTTAGGAAAGCGGACGAATCGAGCCCGTAATAGATAAAAGTACGCAAACAGGCAACCAAAAAAATAACACACAAACCCACTGAACAGTCGGAGTGAGTCAGTGGTATGTTTCTATCTGGAAAGACAATTGACCTCCGATGTAGAACTTTATTTCCTTCTCAAAAGTTTGTCCCATGCTTTCTTCATTTTAGATCTATACGTACCGCGGCGACGGAAGCAGAAGGTTCCGTAAATTATAGGATCCAGAAAGCTTGCGAAGAGCACGGGGAAATTGGCAACTAAGCAATACAGGGCCTGATTTTCTAATACTTCATTTTTGCCGCTACCATAAGCTATCCACATGCATATGGCATTTAATGGTGCTGTGCAGACGGCAAACACAACGACCATGATTGCAAAGGCTTTGCACACGCGCTTATTTTGCAGACGACTCGCTTCACGTTGCAACGCGCAGCTTTTCATTTGTGATGCTTTGAAAATGTTGTATCTTGATTTTTTCGAAGCCAATCCAGCCTGGACATAACAAGCTGTAATAATAGTCATTGGTATGACAAAGTGCAGGAATATTTTGCTCGTGTAAAGGATGAGTCGAAGACTGGGAATTGGCGCTGACTTCTCATTTCCACAGGAACGAGGACCAAGCGCCGCATTCCAGACAATGGGTGCTGTAAAAACCGCTGAAAGCAACCAGCACAGGCACAACATACTTACGATTGCTGTTGTAGTGAAGCGAGGGTGAAGGGGTGTCACCACTGAGCGCCTTCTTTCCAAAGCGATAATAACCTGGGAAAACACTCGTATGTATGGATAAAACATGACCATTGGAAGCATTATCCGGCATGTAATAAAGGACGTGTGCGTGATGTCAACTGCTGAGTACAAAACTGCTGGTGTCAACGTCATTAAAATCAAAATATCCACCACCACCAAATGAAGCATCAGTAGTTGGTTTGTTGTCAATTTGCGTCTTGGTTTCGTTTTTCTGATTCTATGGAATACAAGGGCATTTTCGATGATTCCAACGATAAAAAACACGCAATACAGTGTTTCCAAGGCTATGGAGAACTTTCTGGTTGTGCCGCTTGAATTACTGGATAGCAGAGCATCGGACATGTCTCAGGGTCTTACTCCTCAATAAGTAAATATCGTCTGCCTTGATTTAATGGAAAAAAAAAATCCTATATTAGCGATGTATTTGCTCGACCTTCTGCAATCAAGAATTGTTAAAGGACGGCAAGGAGAGACCAAACTGTTCTTGTGTTCCGGGCAACCGATCATAGGGGTTCTATTATTTTTTTCTTGACTCGTTTATACAGGTGTTCATTATCTGTTTTATCAACCAATAAGTTGAAAGATCAAAAATGTACAATCAGCATCCCAGTTTCTTTTCCCCGAGTCGTCAATGGAAGATTACTTTTCATTAATCGTTTTTCGGGTAGGTTTACGTTGAGCGTTCAATTCCCTAAACCAACCAAAAGCCGCGCTCGTTTCAGTGCGGAGGACAGCCTCTGTTTGATAAATCCACCAAATATTCTAATATTCTTTTTCGTTTGAAATGTTAATGTTTTTTTTCTTGTGAAATCATTTCAAGCTCGATCAAATGAAAATCATTAAAAGTGAAAATGAAAATCATTAAAAGTGTTGCACTCATTAGCGAGTTTAATTTCAACGTTTTCGCCCCACAAACAATAACAACAGATTTGAGAATTTTCTATATTTCTAATGTGTGTTTTATGATTGAACGATTTTATTCCCAAGTATTAATAACTTTTATCATTTTATTTTATTTGTAATTTTTGCACAATTTTTAGCTTTGAATTAATATCGTGTATAAATAAAGGTTGTATGTATGTATGTATTGAATCATGTCATTTTTGATATGAACTTTATTATATTCAACTGTTAATTGTGATTCTTTTGTACTACACTCAGTTCCTTTATTACTCACAGGGCATAGATTGATATTCATTCAATTCCACAACATTTGTTTATTTTGAAAATTTTGTTTACATATAGTTAAAGTTAAATAAAAGACTAAATTTTAATTAAAGTTCTTTCAAGTGCGATAATAAAAACATAAAATACGAAAGAAATTTCCTTTTTGAAATACCACTATGTAGTTGAAGTTTAAAATTGAAAAAAAAAATGCTTTGGAGTTACTAGCTCGGCAAACTGAATCTATTTCTCCAAGATCAGGAAAAGCTTTGTGCCGGAAAAAAAATACAAGGTAATTCACTGTAAAAAAGGAACTGCAGACACAGAAAAAAAATCCATGAAGAACTGCCTAAGAAAAAAACCGTTCGATCAAACCTTCCCCGACACACCTGTTCTCAGTAGCAAAGGAAAGCTATTTCTTTACCATTTTAGGTTCAGTTCTCTTCTTTTTTCACTTCAAAACCGAAATTTGTTAGCTGTTTTCAAGATAATTTGTCTTACCTCCAAAAAGGACTTTGCAACATAGCATCAAGAAGATTGTTTCTCGCTTTTATCGGGTGATCCACTAAATACAACTGTCTTGGCATGGTGCAGTTCATTAAAAGACTGTCATACGTTATTTAACTTATATGTACTTCAGGATGGTGTCAAGTGACACTCTGCCAAGCCAATAGGGATTGTGGATGAAGTGTACTTTGTTATGAACAACTTGCAAGCAATTCCGACCAAATTTTAATCAACAAATACCACCTGGACAGATGAGTCTGCAAAAACTAAAAAAACATCACTAGTATATTCAATCACATTTCAATCACATTTCAATCAGAACGTAGATAATCATGTAGCCGCCGGATAATATAGGCAATAGATAGAATTTTAGTCAGTTTTACGGCATACGGCAAACGTGAATGTGACCAAGTTTTCCCCTAATTAATTGTTGTTTGCTGTTTATTACTTCCACGTAAAAATAAGTAGGTTCATACCAGTGTTATCAATAAAAATTGTTCTGGGCGGTTTTTATCTGCTAATTTTTTATTCTGAGAAATTCTTGTTCAAGTTTACTTGTAATCTTGACAGTTGGCTGCATATCATAAGTTTTATCACGAACAACTCAGTCACGGCCCTCGACAGCGGGTAAATAAAATTGAAAAATCAAGCTCTTTAGTTACTTTACTTTACTGGTTAACTCACTTGTGCAATGCTTTGGAGCTTTTTACTTATTCCACAAAGGACCACACTGCATCAACCCACAGTTAATTTTGAAGTAAAAAGTATGTTCCAACTGTGTTACAGATCGAACACGGACTGCATCTTTCCCTTGCGCGGCGGCTGTAATTGTGCGAGATCTGAGGTCGCGAATTATGAACGGACTTTTATAAGCCAATTAATGTGGCTGTGGAAGAAAATGGCTTTTGATAACATACAATCTCAACGGCAAATATTTCAAGTGGACATATCAAACAAAACAAACGAGATGTTCAACAGGAATGAATTGAAATCGAATTAAAAGCGAAATTAACTGTTGTGTACCTATTATACTGAGGGTTTCATTCACACAATACAACAATCTACTGAGCCTGGTATTTTTCTCTTGCTACTAAGAAACTAAGTAACATGTAAACAAGGAAAATAACAGGCAGTCATAAAATTAAAAAAGGAGCGAGCCGATGGGGCTAGCGACTTCAAAAGATTAAAATCCTTGAATGAAAGAAAGGTTCTCAAAGGTTTCACAGCGGAAGTTATATGTTTCGGCATGTCACGTCCTCCTGTATATATTTTTTTGCGGTTATTTGAGGTCTACAAGTAATATATGCTGCGGCCATGAAAGCTTGCAGCATCTTGAGAAATAGTGTGATTGCCAAACAGTGTTTAATTTCTTCCTAAATTTGATAATTCTGCACTCAAAGGGTTTTTGTAGCTTTCATGTCTTGTGCCAAATTAATAATAACTTATATAGCACCATCAAAATGAATAAAAATCCGGACAACATAATCCGATACCTTTCTTTACTTTGACGTTTTGTTTCTTTAAATGAAATCTTTCAAAATCATGAGAAAACATCTTGATTTTCGCTGTCCCAGGTTGCGGTAGATAAGACAGTGATAAGACACAGGAGACACGACAATTTCTACTTGCAAAGGCCGCGGAAGGCGCAAAATTGCCCCCCGATTTGCCGGTTCCATACAGAGCTTACCGTAAGCGCTCCAATTCCCTTTTAAAAAGTCTGGCTTTCCAACAAAGAGTTTCACTTTTTAATTCTTTGAAAAGCTTCTTTTAAATAAGGGCGATAGAATACAACATTACCCGCAAAATTTAAACATCCGAACAGTGCTACAACAGCAAACACGACCTCTTGCGTTGCAAAAAAACATAGCAAGCTTTCCTCGGTTGTAAGGGAAGGAACGGAGGCAGGAGCTACGGTGATGGAACAAGGAGTAAACTTGTTGGCCAATTTCCCTCTTTCGTCGCCATTTTTTTCTCACTACAGAAATATGCGGACGTCCTCGAAAACAATTAAAGCCTGTTCTAACAATAATTCTTTATCGGAAAGGGTTGACTCAAGGGTACAGCACGTATGGAGGCTCCAAGTAATTGGCTCCTGCCTGTTCCAAGTGTTCATATAGTGGAGAGCGGTGCGAAGTGCGCAATGGCATTACTCGCCACTTTTTTTGATGTTGCAGTTGTCCGCGTAAGGGTCTGGAAGCCAATCAATCCCATCATTCCTGAAGCGACTGACCAAGATGGCGGTAAGTGTGATCCCGTCAACTATAACTTTTAACTTTTTCTGGCTTTGAATCGATTCAATTTGAGTGACTGTTTTTTTAGACTGATCGGAAGAAAAAAGAGAGCATCTTTGAATTATCCAAATTTCTCGATAAGAGAGTCCGAGTGAAGTTTCAAGGTGGCAGAGAAGGTAAGTGTAGGCATTTCTTTATGAAAGCAAATGTTCAGGAAGAAAAAATGCGCCCAGTTTCAATTCGACGCGTTTGTGACACGCCTCTGTACTCTGTAAAACCAGAAGTTCCAAAATTATCAGAAGAGTACTTCTTTATGGTCAATCTTTGTTAATATATTTTAACTTTCCTGGGAGAAAACACTCTCTCTTCACTGCCAGCAAGCAAGACTTGCAGGAAATAAATATCTCAGCTAGCCATGTACAATGAGGGATACTCCGGATTTCAAGTGACGGGGGTGATCAAATTGGGGCAAAAATCAAAACCCCAAAAAATCCGTAGACCAAAAATTAACCTCCAAAAAAAATCCCATGGCGAAGCTCCAAGCCTTAAACATTTCCAGAAAGCTTAAATGATATAGCACGTTGTGCTTCATTTGGTTGTAGTTATTTGCAGAACTACGACGGTCACTACCAGGAATCTTCAGATTGTTTTGAATACCCCCAAAAATTCCTACTTAAATCAAGCTACCCCAAAAACTACTTGCCGAATTTTCCTACCCAAAAAAATCCCGGAAACGAAAATGTCAAACCCCGAAAAATCCTTCGATCATCCCTGTCACTTAAAATCTGGAGTACCCTCCCTGGGGTTTTACCCCATCTAACAGTTTACCAGTCAAGGAGCCCAGTTTTCTCTTAGTAAATGGAACGTTTCATTTGTTATTTGTACCCACCTCCCCTTGCATGGAGCACATGATTCCACCAGGCCCTTTTCTGTTTGCCCCCTATGGATGGTAAGATTCTGACAGGCTAATTCTGCCTGAAATTTGGATTGCAACACCGTCATAATTAGGGATTGTGACAGCTACCATACAGGGAAGAATTCAATTCTGACTCCTCTTTTAAATCAAATTATAATGATTCTCAACACTGGTGTTCAATAGTGATTCTGTAGCCCTTATACATGTGTATTGGAATTTCCAATCAACACCAACGCATGTTGAATACCATTATAATATGTTAGTGGTTGAAATGTCATACCAGCAAAGTGACCCTGTCACAATGACACCATGATCTTTCATTGTTAAGTTTTCTAATCTAGTTGCAACTTGATTTTCAGCCACAGGGGTATTGAAAGGTTATGATGCATTACTAAATGTAGTACTAGACAACACAACAGAATATTTGAGAGGTGGGTGATGTCTACTTTTTTGTGCCCACATTTACGGTACCTCAAGTCCTGAGATATTAGTATAACTTCTAAAAATAATTAAAACGTGCATGTTACAATGGCCAAAAGAACACAGGCACCTTTCCTGCCAGGGGCATAGCCAGCCCATAGACCTGTAGGCCCAGGTCTACAAATTTTTTGTTTGATCACTCTACTGCTTTAATTATGCATTGTTGGGATGAAAGCCTAAGAGCTCAAAGTGTTGATGAGGTCAGTGCGTACTAGTCATGCGTGCAATTTTCAGGATGGCTAAGCCCCTGCCTGCTGGGGCAGCTTATAGACTTTGACAAATACGTTGATTGCATTTCTAAAGCTGCTGACTTCTTGTTAGTAATAAAAACAATGAGAAGAGAACCTTCAGTGTGATAATATTTTTTATTACTAATTCATATCTGTGAAACTGTCGATTTTCTTACAATCAGTGACTTGTTACTATCAAACTGCTCTTGGGGAAACACCCTTTCCAACCACTACAAGGAATATTTCAGGCTACCTCTCTCTTCTCTTGGGGTTATATTCCAGTAATCATAAAAGGTAAAATGTCATACATATTATCCTGAGTTACTGTTGTGGAGGAAACTAAAGCCCGTAATGTGATCCTTAATACTACCCAGTTTAGTACTAGCCACAAGTTTATAACAAGATTGGCCTTTTTTTTGTAATTTTATTTGTCTCTTTACCCATAGATCCTGATGACCCATTCAAACTAACTGATGAAACTAGGCAGCTTGGCTTGGCTGTCTGCCGTGGAACTGCTGTAGTGTTAATTTGTCCTGTAGATGGAATGGAACCTATTGCAAACCCATTCTTACAACAAGAATGATATGGCAACTTGTTCTGCAACTCCTACTTTTGTGTACTATCATACATCAACTGTTCTTCTCTGGTGGACTCTCATAGTCTTGTAAATTAACAGAACTGTGAACACCTAAAATATTTCAGGAATGTTTATTGTGTGAGGACCAATTACAGAAAAGATCAAAACACCCGAGCCAACCACAAAACCACAGACTAGTTGCTGCAGTTTAGTTGTCCTATGCCTGATTGGCATTTGCAACACAACAACATTCCAGCAATATTTTTGGTGTACATGGTTTTGTTAGTTTTGCAGTATGCACATGCATGTTTAGTAACCTTTGCAAAGAATTTTGGATATCTCAAAAATTTTTTGGTCGGTGCCTTTTTTAAGATATGTTAGTAAAGGGGTGGGGGAGGGGCATTGTTTTTGATAAGCCAGCAGTAAAAGAAATAAACATGTAGAACTTGACCAGTTAGTACTGTTTGTCATATCTTGCATTGTTTTCAAAGTCTTTAATGTAATTGTTGGTTTGCATAATATATGCAGTTGTGGTTACTGTATTTCTTTAATCCCCGCATCACCCCAACTCCCATCCTATAATTTAATCCTCAACCATAAAACATGGAATGTGACTAGCTTGAATTGGCAAGAAACTAAGCTTAATATCCCATGAGGTACCCTGGGTGCCAGAGGCTTTTCATGCGCAGTTTCTGCTTTCGGTCAAGTCTTAAAAAGTGACTAGTGTGAAAAGCCTCTGGACCAGCGGCCTGTGGCCGACAAAGCTCCTGGTCCCACACTTTCCCACACTAAATATGGCGGTGTTTTTAAACTAGCCTGAATTTTATCCGATTACTTCGAGTTGTTATTACTCCCTCAGTAACGTCGTTACTGTCTGAAGTAATCGGATGAAATTCAGGCTATATTTCAACAGGGAATGCACAATTTTGTAGTCAGACGTTGGTATTTTATTTATCATGTGTGAACAGATTTTAAGCAGCATGACAGTCAAATAATAAGATAGTACTTTTCATTTTACTTAATATTAAAGTACAGGGTTCGTACAGATATTTGGATCCAAAATTCAGACTCAAGGATCAATTGAGACCTTGAAAAACACAGGAACAAAGCTTTTTTTCATGGATGCACTGCAAACATACGGTAACCACAGTGCAATGCGGACATGAGAGAGTTCTGAAACTTGTCATTCTGTGATTATAATAAATGCCTTTGCTACAGATGAGATTGAAAGGGATTTGACTATAGGAAAAATATTCCCTTGTAAGCACTTGTTGTAGCTTTGAAAAAGAAAAACTCCAGACTTTTACCATTTTTCCAGACCTTACCTCTATTTTCCACTTGCTTTGCAAATTTTATATTTTCCACTTGCTTTGCAAATTTCAAGACTTTTTCAAGAACTCAAGACTCTGTACAAACCCTAAAAGTAGAACAACTAGAATAACCCAAAACTTTTGTACAAATATTAATCACTCAAGATTTTCTCCCACCCACCCCTTCAATTCTTTCTTTCCTCAAATGAAAAATTAATAAATGATTCCCCTCACTATTTTACCC